GACTTAAAGTGTTGGTCATTTTGATAAAGTGTGGGAGTTGGGAAATTTTGGGACTTAGGGTTTCAAAATGTATAAAGGGGGTTTTATTATTTTGACTCTTAAATATGTGTTTTGGGTCTCAAGATGATGGTATTATTATTGGATGTTGTTATTTGAACCTTTGGGTTAATATTGAGAAATGGAAGAGAGCCCTAATTTGTGCATAAATTGATTGGTATAATTAATTTGAGAAAATTATGGGTTTATGAAATTGAGTTGAACATAATGGAATTGGCTCATTATGAGGTGGAACGGTGGAGTAGATTTTATTAATCTCTCACTTTTGAAAGTATTGATTATATATCTGTTGAGGCATTTATTATCTGTTTAGAAATAATTGCTTTGGGCTACCGGTGGAGGGTAGTCTTGATTGTTGTAGGCAATGCATGATGATTAGGCAAACTAAAACTAATCAATTGAATGTGTCATCGAATATGACGGTTGGAATAATACATTAATGTTTTGTATTGATTGATTGTGTATATGATCTATGTTTATATACATTGTGTTGTGTGGGAGGAGATAGGGGATGTACTCCACGGTTTAGGGGATGGACCTCTAAGCCAGATATTGTTTGAGAGGAGATAGGGAATGGACTCTGTGGATACAGCTCATATGCTTATCTATTGAAGTGTGGATACAGCTCATATGCTTATTTATTGAAGTGTTGATACAGCTTATATGCTTATCTATTGAAGTGTTGATACAACTCATATGCTTATCTATTGGAGTGTTGATATAGCTAATATGCTTATCTATTACAAAATATAAAGTGTTTAATATAAGTGTGACTTCATTTGAAATGGAGGTATTGTTGATACGAGTGTTATCACATTTAAATTGTTTGGCCAGGTTTTGAGCCGTAGTTATGAAATGAGAATTGGATAAGAAGAGGAAAATAGAATGAAAAACGGACATCTTTGTCATGTAATTGAGATGGTTATGAAAATGATTTCTGTGAGCTAAACATTTATCAATTGCTAACATTTTAGTTATTGTTCATATTATATTTAGCATATCTCTACTGGGCGTTGGCTCACCCTATATGGGACATCATTTTCAGGTTCAGGTATCATGCCGCCTCCGAGGTCTTAGCTTGGATGGTTAAGGGAGTTGAAGATTCTTTTTGGTTGTTTTGTCTGTATTACATGTATATCAAGCCAAGGGCTTATTTTGTATAGAGTTAGTACTCTTCTTTTGTAACCAAGTGTTGACTTGGAAAGCTGTAAGCTCGTAGGGCATCTGCTTTTGTTGTTAACATGTAATACATTTGTAAGGAATACTCTGATGAAATGTAATTATGCTTTACTCTCTTATGTCTAAGCATGTTAATATTGTATGATTTTTGGGTTTATTTTGAGGGCGTTACACCTCAAGTGGGCTTAAAGATTGCGGATTTTGCACCAAACATAGTGGGCTTAAAACATGATTTGCCACTCAACAAAGTGGGCTTAAAACACACATTCGTTGAATCATTCCAAATCAAACAACAAGCCTTCATCCACAGGCATTCAAGCAGTTTATCAAGTAAGCACATAGCCTCATGGCAAGCATGCTAGACATGGCAACATTCACATTCATGCGAGTATACTAAAGAATAAAAACTCACCTAGTACTCCATGCCAAGAAAATATGAGTTAGAAAATAATGCATGATTCTTAGCTATACAAGGTGTCTAATGCAACACATGCTATATGCCATTAATAGGCTCGGCTACTAATATGGCATATGAAGCAATTCGAACAACATGCGATTGAACACGTATTCAAATAAGATATTGAAATGATGATGCAGTTTGAATGATGCGCCGAGCCTCAGTGCATGCAATACAAGATGAATGGATACAAGCATAAGGTATGCTAATTGAAAGATGTTCTTAATCTAACCATCAAAAGCGATTAAATAAAAGGGAGAATGTAACAACCCCGTTCCGTAATTAGCTACTAATTCGTAATTAAGAATGCTAACTAAGTGTTTAGAATGGAATTATGTGTTATTGTTAATTGTGATATGCGTTTTGTAGTAATTTGTGCATATCTATCTGATTTGAAAATTATTTGTCATGATTCCTACTTTGAATCTGAAGTTGTTAGCCTAAATTCTTTTAGAAACCGAATTGAGCACATGGGTTGACTAATTAGAATTTTTAGAACCATATGAAAAGTTTTGTTAAAAACTGATTCAGTTTAGTAAAATCGCATGTGATTAAATTAAGCCTTAATTGGAACTATTTTTGAATAATTGAATTTTGTGCTAACCTTGACTAATTAAGGTTACTTGTGTTTGATTTAAATGATGCATGATTGGTACCTAATCTAATCCTATTAATGATCCAAGATGGGATTAAGTGTTGATGTGCTAAGGCATTTGGTGATATTGAATGTAGAGGATTAAAACTCTTGTGAGTGTGTTGGATTAATGCATGTGTGTGCACGTGTTGTGTATTCAAATGTGAGGTGTGTGTTGTGTATATTCTGATGAGAGTTGAGGGAGTATTGCACCATTCCTTTCCTCATGTGATCCTTGTGTAGAGAGAGAGGAGAGAGAGAGCTCAAGTTAGAAAAAGAAGAAGGGAACTAGGAAGACCATCTCTTATTGTTTGAAATCAAGAATCTAGGTAAGAGTTTTGAGCCTATTTTCTGTAGTTAACCTTCTCTGCATCATGATTTCAGCATGTCTTTGAGCTAATTTCATGATATTTGTAAGGAAATGGGTCTTAGAACATGTAGATGGCTTACATATACATTCATGGTAGACCATCTTTGATTTTATCATGTTGAGTTTGAGTTTTAAAGTCCTTGCATGCATGTGAGCTTTAATCATGTCCATGGTTTCAGAATTCATGAAGTTATTGATCACCATTTGCATGTTATGAAAAACCATGAAAGAGTTGAAAAAGTGTTGCATGAAGAAGTTCTGACTCAAATCTTTCAAGAATTGATGAGTTTTTGAATAAAAGATGTTTCAAGGGTCTTGTATTGAAGTTTTCTAAAGCTATTTTTGTGCGTTTGATCAAATCATGCAAGACCCCAAGGTTTGAAGGTGGTTTGGAAGCCATTTTTGTTAAGCTTACTGCCCAGAAATTTACAGCTGGCTCGAGCGAAGAAGTAGTGGCTCAAGCCAACATTTCGAGCTCTCAGAATTTTGAACTCTGCAGAAGCTGGCTCGAGCGAAGAAGTCCTGGCTCGAGCGAGCTCTATTTTTGCCTTCTGCTGGCTCTAGCCAAGCAAAGCTGTCTCTAGCCACCAACTTATTTTCAGTATGTTTTCAAAAGATGTTTTAAGTACATATCTTCACTCCCATCTCTTTATGGGCATTCTTAGGCATGATTTATGAGCCGTTAAAGATTAATAAGCTAAGAAATAGCCTACGTAAGTGAATTAGAAAATATGTGTTGAATCCGAGTATATGGGCAATATGAACAAGTTATGTAGCATGGAATGAATGGGCAATTAAAGTGAGAAAGCTAGCCGTGTTGGCCACTTGAATGTGTAATGATAAGATATTCTTGTGTCATGTATTTTGTGATTGTAGGTCAAGACTCGAGGGTTGATTGGCCGTTTACAGGAAACCACTGTGAGTAACGTTATTGTAAAGATATGTTGATATGACTTATGCTCCAAATGTAATATGTCAAGTTATGATTTCTAAAATGATATTGTTTACGTGAACGAATGTCCTATGATTGAAATCTATTATGGCATCCATAGATAGTCCCAAGTCATGGGGGACGACATGTAAATGCGGGTCCATGACATACATGTGATTACGAGATCTCGTTAGCCACTTCATTGTGGTGATATGTGTTTAATCGGTATCCGGAACCGATTACTCTAGTCGGAAGATGTTATGTGATATGTTCTATGGGATGTAGCATTATTATGTTCTGATACAAGAATGATTATGCTATGATTTGTGTTACGCTTATGATATGTTCGGATTTCGCTCACTAACCCCTTTACCTTAATGTTATTCACTAGGCTTTAGCTCACTGTGTGTATATATATATATATATATATATGTAGGTGGGCATTCTGGAGTTCGAGCCTGAAGGCTTTTGTTCGAATCTGTGTTCTGTTGTCAGCTAACCATTGTGCCTCACGTGGAGGTTCCCGAAGAGTCCTGTGTTTAAGTTCTGTTGTTTTTGTACATATAAGACTTGGTAGTGTTGTTGGTTGTACTTAAGATACTTTAATGTGTGTGGGTATAATGTATGAATGACTATTGCATACTTATATAAAGTTTTAAATATTTTGTTCATATAAGTCAGCACAGCTTATTGGACAACTATATTTATGTATTTGCTTCCGCTAGCCCCATAATCTTGTTAATCTGTTCAGAGGCCTTCGGTAATCCAAGGATTACTGGCCGGTTACGATGCTTAACCTATAGGGGTGGGTTTGGGTTGTGACAAAGTGGTATCAGAGCACGAGTTATACCGCACACACGAGTCCGTATGAGCTATAGGATGTCCTAGAAGTGAAATAGGGACATTGCATTGTCATGTGTAAATATGAGACCTATTATGAACATATCTTTAATGAAATAAAATGAAACGAAACCTATGTGCATAAACAAAGAAGTTATGAGAAATAACATGTAATATTGTTTTCGATATCGAACGTGTAATTCTTGTAAACGTGATCATATGAACGAGAAAGACTGCGTGACCTATGTGAATATATTTAAGTTAAGATAAAATGACGAATGTGATTGATATGAACTGAAACATGAAGCCAGTAAGGACTATACCAATATTGATAATCACCCTGTTTGTGTGTAGACAAATGGAAAGGGCAAGGAATGTAGACGAATCTGAATCTTCTGATGCTAGAATGAGCTGGTTAGAAAGAATGGTCAATGCCTTAACTGAATCTTTGAGTCAACAACAACAAAGGCAAATACATGTACCTGAACTAGCTAATTATGATTTGATAACTTTGGCATAGAAATATAATAAGATGAAGCCGCCAGAATTTCTAGGGGGTATGGAACCACTGAAAGCTGAGGCTTGGGTTTTAGAAACTGAGAAAATATTTGAAGTATTTCCGTGTACTGAGGCACAAAAAGTTTTGTTGGCGACATTCACACTTAAAGAAAAAGCTAGGAGATGGTGGATGTTAGTACGGAATGATAATGAGGGTATGACATGGGATCGATTTAAAGAAATTTTTTTCAAAAAATATTTTCCCCAATGCATCCGAGATAGGAAGGTATCCGAATTTGAACAACTAAAACAAGGCAATATGACTGTGGCCGAATATGAAGCAAAATTTACTAAACTAGCCCAATATGCACCACACATGATCGACACTGACTATAAAAAGGCTAGAAAATTTGAAGGTGGGCTTGACCTAGATGTGTATGACCGAGTTGGCATTTTAAAATTGCCGAAGTACGTGGACGTTCTTGATAAGGCCTTAATGTCTGAGGCAAACATAGCAGCCTTGAGAATATCAAAATCAACATCATCAACTGAATCAGAAAGAATGAAATAGAAGAAACAAAAAGTTGAAATGACTAGTAATTCAATGGTCTCTGTGAATGAAAAATCTAGGGCAATAGCTTTGAACAATGAAGGTCGGGGAAGCAATGTGAACAATGGTATACCTAGTTATAGAGAATGTGGGAAACAACATTGGGGCACTTGTCGCCGTCTATTAGGGGCTTGTTTTAGATGTGGTCAAAAAGGGCACTTGGCTAAATCTTGCCTGCGAACTCATCCGAACAACACTAAGCCTAATGCTAGTACGACTGGCTCTGTCCCTACACCCTAGTTCCAGAAAATGCTCGGAATACTGAAACGATCGACGCATGTATTACCTTAACTATGTGCAATTGTTTATATGGGAATTTGTGCGGAAGGTGTACATTCCTTAACTTGATGTAGATTGTGGACATGTTAATTGGACCAATTGAATTATTATAATTATGAACCCTAGTTATTGACTGTCTTGAAGACTTACTATTTAATGTAAATTTTATGTGAGATGCTCAAAACCCTATAACGAATCACTTGAGCCTTGGGAATTGTTGAGACTTATGGACAATGAGAATTTGCTGGGTTAAATCTTTGTACCGTATAGCAAAAATTTAATATGAACTGTTAGGTATGACCTTTTGAACTATGCTAGAATTATTGGACATGGGAACAGATTATGATTGACTATAATTTGGGAAGTCTGTATGACCATGACTTGAACTGAACCGTTATATATTGACTGACATCATCGAATGATTAGACCTGTGATCTCGAATTGTATACATGAATCAGTCACGTGGGGAATTTCTGGAATTGAGAACCTATGTCAGTTTGGAAGAACGAACTTTTGCTCATAAATTGTGAATGAATGCCTAAATGATAAGTGATTTTAGACTCGTGCTTGTATATATGTTTCCATGCTTGCAATACTATTAGAATTAATGGGGTTGAACTGTGGTTAATGAATCCTTTGAGATATACTGTTTGATGCGGACTATATGCGCGACACTGCGGAGCTCTATGTTTAACAATTACCTATGCTATAGAAAATGTTTGGACTTGTATAGATATGCATACCTTTGCTTGAGAATGTTATTAGACTCTGGACATGTACATATATGATTATACCTTTGCTCAGATTGATTGATATGATTATTTGTTGATAACTTGACCGTTGGGACTATGACTCTGGGAAATTGTTATATTGACTGTGATGCTTACTTCTTAATATGAACAATTACATACCTGTGCACCCACATGTGAACTTACATGGAGAATTTAACATTGTATATGACCTGAACTCTTCGATATGAACTATTGTGATACATAACTCTGATGTGATTTGAGAACCGAGGAACTTAGAACAACTGTAGAACTACTGACTATGCACCTAAGCGAATGGAGTATGAACTATAGAACCAAATGTGCTTCGCTTGGAAATAATAAGGATAGAACTTTCACCTGATCTAACCTGATAGAACCATGGTTTGATGAGACCTTTGTTTAACTGATGGAACTTCTGTTTGATGACTCACGCGTTGAACTTTTATTTGATATGACTGGGTAGAACTTTCATCTGATATGACCTGATTGAACTTTCATTGATTTGATCTGAGGAGACCCTTATTGAGAGCTACTATCTAATTTGATTACATTATGGGGGATTGCGAATTGCTTATGATTGAATGACAGGGCCGTGTTGCTAAGGGAACTAACCGAATGAAAATTTGAATCAATCTCGAACACTTAGGAAGAATGTGAACCGTCAACAGCGGACTATGTGATTATAAATGACTTTTTACCATACGCCTATAACCGATTGGAAACACGCGAATGGGATTATGGAATTTGGTAACTTACGCTTGGAGAATATGGGAATACTGTATATATGACATGTGATTAATTACCTGGTATTATCGTTATGACTATGAACTTGTTTGACTAGAGAACGATTGCTTTGGTGTTACTGTACTTCAAAACTGATGGAATTTGTTGATAACAGCCTGGTTTGATTATAAACTCTGACTATCTGAGAGTATATGTAATCAGTACGACTACTTCTGTAGTGACACATAGTACGATTGAATCTGTGAAAACTGAGGCTGATGAAGAGTATATGAATGAATACTTCGGAATCTCGTTTACTGCTATGGGGTTAATGTACGAAATTGCCTCGTATTTCTGCTATCCTTTGGATGACCTGGACTAACTGTAATGGATTAACAAATTGAAAACTAAATTGAACAAAGACCAGATGAATGACTCGGAAATAAATAAATCAAATCTCTGTAACTTAACGGGGGAAATTACTTATGAAAATGGAAACAGTGTGAATCTATGACCCGATAAGTACTTGATATAAGTAATGTGAGTAATAACTTAGTAAAGTTATGTTCAACTGTATCTATTTTCTGTGTGATAAAATAAGATCTGTTTTCCGAAATGCTATGTTTTGTGTACTGTGCAATGAATAATTGTCCAATCTCTGATATGTATTCGTGTGACTCTTGGTATTATGTGATATGTGTTGGCTGTTACCCGGTATCGGAGGTTCCATCATGGAACTTAATCTGTCTGTACTCTGTTACCCGCACTGGAGGCTCCATCATGGGGCTAAGAGTGTTTATTCTCTGTTACCCGGATTCGGAGGTTCCTTTATGGAACTGGTTATTCATAACCATCATGTGTCTGCATCTGTTCTGTATCTGCTCTATTAGTACTAATGAATGCACCACGTATGTTTAAGCAAGATTGGTGACATCTGTGTATGATCTGGACAAGAATATGAAAATGAACATGTATCTGAATCTGTTCTAGACAAAAATCTGAATGTGTATAAGACCCTGTTTTGATATGAACCCTAATCTCTGTATATGGTTTATGATTCTATTTCTGGTACTGAGATAATGTCGAGATTGGGTCATGAACATGTTTATGATTATGGTTATGCTTCTGTTTTGTAAGGAATTGAAGTTACATTGTAATGAACATCATTCCTTTTAATCTAAGATAACTCAAGTTTGGAGGACCAAACTTTTTAAGGTGGGGAGACTGTAATAACCCCGGTCCGTAATTAGCTAATAATTCGTAATTAAGAATGCTAACTAAGTGTTTAGAATGGAATTATGTGTTATTGTTAATTGTGATATGTGCTTTGTAGTAATTTCTGCATATCTATCTGATTTGAAAATTATTTGTCATGATTCCTACTTTGAATCTGAAGTTGTTAGCCTAAATGCTTTTAGAAACTGAATTGAGCACATGGGTTGACTAATTGGAATTTTTAGAACCATATGAAAAGTTTTGTTAAAAACTGATTCAGTTTAGTAAAATGGCATGTGATTAAATTAAGCCTTGATTGGAACTATTTTTGAATAATTGAATTTTGTGCTAGCCTTGACTAATTAAGGTTACTTGTGTTTGATTTAAATGATGCATGATTGGTACCTAATCTAATCCTATTAATGATCCAAGATGGGATTAAGTGTTGATGTGCTAAGGCATTTGGTGATATTGAATGTAGAGGATTAAAACTCTTGTGAGTGTGTTGGATTAATGCATGTGTGTGCACGTGTTGTGTATTCAAATGTGAGGTGTGTGTTGTGTATATTCTGATAAGAGTTGAGGGAGTATTGCACCATTCCTTTACTCATGTGGTCCTTGTATAGAGAGAGAGAGAGAGAGCTCAATTTAGAAGAAGAAGAAGGGAACTAGGAAGACCATCTCTTATTGTTTGAAATCAAGAATCTAGGTAAGAGTCTTGAGCCTATTTTCTGTAGTTAACCCTCTCTGCATCATGATTTCAGCATGCCTTTGAGCTAATTTCATGATATTTGTAAGGAAATGGGTCTTAGAACATGTAGATGGCTTACATATACATTCATGGTAGACCATCTTTGATTTTATCATGTTGAGTTTGAGTTTTAAAGTCCTTGCATGCATGTGAGCTTTAATCATGTCCATGGTTTCAGAATTCATGAAGTTATTGATCACCATTTGCATGTTATGAAAAACCATGAAAGAGTTGAAAAAGTGTTGCATGAAGAAGTTTTGACTCAAATCTTTCAAGAATTGATGAGTTTTTGAATAAAAGATGTTTCAAGGGTCTTGTATTGAAGTTTTCTAAAGCTATTTTTGTGTATTTGATCAAATCATGCAAGACCCCAAGGTTTGAAGGTGGTTTGGAAGCCATTTTTGTTAAGCTTACTGCCCAGAAATTTACAGTTGGCTCGAGCGAAGAAGTGGTGGCTCGAGCCAACATTTCGAGCTCTCAGAATTTTGAACTCTGTAGAAGCTGGCTCGAGCAAAGAAGTCCTGGCTCGAGCGAGCTCTATTTTTGCCTTCTGCTGGCTCCAGCCAAGAAAAGCTGGCTCTAGCCACCAACTTATTTTCAGCATGTTTTCAAAAGATGTTTTAAGTACATATCTTCACTCCCATCTCTTTATGGGCATTCTTAGGCATGATTTATGAGCCGTTAAAGATTAATAAGGTAAGAAATAGCATAAGTAAGTGAATTAGAAAATATGTGTTGAATCCAAGTATACGGGCAATATGAACAAGTTATGTAGCATGGAATGAATGGGCAATTAAAGTGAGAAAGCTAGCCGTGCTGGCCACTTGAATGTGTAATGATAAGATATGCTTGTGTCATGTATTTTGTGATTGTAGGTCAGGACTCAAGGGTTGATTGGCCGTTTACAGGAAACCACTGTGAGTTACGTTATTGTAAAGATATGTTGATATGAATTATGTTCCAAATGTAATATGTCAAGTTATGATTTCTAAAATGATATTGTTTACGTGAACGAATGTCCTATGATTGAAATCTATTATGGCATCCACAGATAGTCCCAAGTCATGGGGGATGGCATGTGAATGCGGGTCCATGACATACATGTGATTATGAGATCTCGTTAGCCACTTCATTGTGGTGATATGTGTTTAATCGGTATCCGGAACCGATTACTTTAGTCGGAAGACGTTATGTGATATGTTCTATGGGATGTAGCATTATTA